TTAATATCTCGCTTCGCAGGATAGAGCAACGATTTTGTCTGAGGAAAAAGTTGTTTCTCGTTGAAAAACGCGTTGAATGAGACCAATTTGATTGATTTTGGAGGTGGAGCAGCTATACTGAAGAATTACCAATTCCAAACTTTTTTGTTAATAACTTTCTAACGAATAACGACCGCCGGCTAAAAACTTCTAAGAGTTACTCAGGAGGGTGACCTTGACAACATATGTCAAGGTCAAGGTCATCGGCAGGTGGGGTCTTTTTATGCACATTTACCAATTCTTTGATAATCGCGATCACTCGAATGCAATAAAATTTGACGATACATCTTCTTCAAATCGGCAGTAATCGCGATAGCCGGCAAACGAAATCGCATGACAATATCAATTATATTGTCCTGCAAGTTTACCCCCACCATTAATGTGTCGTTCAAGGAAATACCGGATGTAGTTTTTGCGGAAGCGTCAAACACCACTCGCAATTTTGTTGTCGTACTTGATTCGCGAACCACGCCATGATGTGGCAAATATACCGCATTTAATGCGTCGTCTTCCTTGACTAGAGACATGTGATTCAATTCAATGTACTCGCGCATAAACTCGGCATATTGATCGCGAAAATTTTGATCTCCTTGAAATTTACGTTCTAAATACATGAAACGCTTCAGCGCGATCTCTCTCGATCGACCCAACATTGTTTTGTTTTCACGAAACGGCAGCCGAACGACAAACCGCCCGGACGACGCGTCTCTACTTGTGGTTATGAAATGCCTCTCGCAACATTCCTCTTCTACCGACAATCGCGTATTATCGGTTTGGTATTCCTCCAATTCCCAAAATCTTTTCATGGCATCGCCAATCGATGCCTGCAGACACGTGCAATTACTTGAATACGAATCGTCGGTTGCCCGACTAGCATTAACTGTGACGGTATCGAACCCGCGATAATCCATCCCAACCGGGTATTCTGTAAAATCGGCATACCGTCGCCGAGCTCAACTTTGCCGTGATCTAACAGCTGCAGAAAGAATTCGCCGCCCACAAGCGCATCGATCTGACTCGGATTGAAAAACAACGGGTCCGCCAATTCAAGACCCTCGGGAATTGATAACTTCGTCGCCTGTATGAAAAACGATGGTAAACTCTTAGTTATTTCAGGAACAACCAAACAATTCAAAACTCAAATTGAAATCAGATACTCGCGACTTTATCGAAAGTTCACAACCATGATTTACCGCGCAGCTCATTCCGTTCAGCCCGCTAATTTTCTCTCGAATAGCCTTTAAATTTAAATTTAGCTTCCTGCATGCTGGAGCCGTTACAAAATTGAGCTCGCTCGCGCTGTCCAGTAGCACTCGCAGCTTAGAGTCGCCGCTCGCCGTTGCCACATTCACGATGGCTATCGCCATCAAAATTCGCTTACGCCGCTCGTTGATCCGTTGATCGCGCCCGCGCCCTGACGATCCGATGCCATCCGTCGATGACTCCCTCTCGCCGTCCGTTACTGAGCACAGCGCGGTGCCTACGGGTGGCCCCTCCGGAACCCCCGACAGTTTCTTCGCAAACCTTGTTGAGGACTCGGGAGCCTGTCCCCTTCATGACATAGTGTATTGTGCCGCTCGCCGCATTCCCTACAGGAACCGGACCTGCAATTTCTAGAAAAATGATCTGGTCGCAAACAATTGAAACAAAGTTTCAACCGTTTAATTTCCCTTATTCGATCCTGGACCGACAAGCTCAGAAATTTTTTACAACCGTAAATGAGATGTTATCCTTGACAAAGACAACATCTTTTTTCCAGGGTGGTCGTCGCTAGTGCCACCTTGCTCTTCAGTCTTGCGCCTGACACCCGCTGTCCGGCTGACCTGTCCCTCTCGACAGCACTGCTCCTTGATTTGCCGATCTCGCCATCCACGGCCGATCGCCGCAACAGCTGACTATGACGCTGTAGAAATTCCATCATCGTGTCCGTCGTCACGACTTCCTTGTCCTCGATGTACTCCTCCCAGCGTCTCCTCGTTTTGTTGTCGAAGTTTTTCTCGATTATGTAGATGATCAATTCTCCCCATGTTGCTGTGGGAAGCTTTGTTGCACAAATGGATACGAGACACCGCGAGGACCGATTGAAATAAAGGATGATGTGTAGTGAGTAGAATACGGTCTTTATTAGTCGAGGAGGTCTGGACCATACAAATGTAACAGACTGACTGACTGACGAGAACATGACGCTAGCGCCTGTAGAGACGTAGCGGCCGAACCACCGATTTAATAACGAACGTTTGATTGCTATAGGGCGGGCATTACATCCCAACACTTCCCCTCAAGAAAACTAATATAAAGTACTAACATAAACAAACTTATACTTATAATACGACTAACGAAAATAACTATTGTAAATATAATCTTAAGCGATGCACAAAAGGTCCAGGCACTTCCAGTGCTTTGGCTTCGGTAAGCCCTTCGTAAGGATGTCCGCAGGCATTTTATCGGTTGAAATATGCCCTAGTTCGATTTGACCGGACTGCAGGAGTTCGCGTACGAAATGATGACGTATGTCTATGTGCTTCGTTCGTCCGTGAAAGATGGGATTCTCTACCAGCCTCTGAGCGCCAAGGTTGTCGTTGAACATCCTCACGGCCCTTGAATCGTCAATGCCGATCTCCAGCATGAAGCGCCGAAGATACACCGCCTCCTTCGCCGCTTCCCCGAGAGCCATGTATTCTGACTCTGTTGAGGATAGCGCGACAGTCCTCTGTTTCTTTGATTCCCAGGATAAGATTCCGCCGTTCCAAATGAATGCGTACCCGGTGAATGACCTCCTATCGTCCGGACTTCCACCCCAGTCCGCATCCACGTAGCCAGTCAACTCGCCCTCTCGTGAACTGAAATTGATTCCCAGATGTGGAGTTCCTCTCAAATAGCGCAGTACACGCTTCGCCGCAGCCCAGTGACCTTTGCCAAAACAATTATTATATTGACTTAAATCACCAGCAGCGTGCGAAATATCCGGGCGCGAGGTGACAGACAGGTACATGAGAGCGCCAGCGAGCTCACGATATGGTGGTTCCTCTCCATCGGATTCTGTCCAAGGTTCGGACCTGGATAGTCTGACACCCGGCTCCAGGGGCGTCGACACGGGGTTGCAATCCAACATCTCAAAACGTCGTAAGATGTCTTCAGTGTATCTCGTCTGGTTCACGCGAATTCCGTTGTCATCTTTCTCGAAGTCCATTCCTGGACAGTGCTTCAACTCGCCGAGGTCATTCAATTCGAAAGATCTTCTCAGATGATCTCTGCACTCAGCGATATCCTTCTGGTTCTTGGACACTATCAGGATGTCGTCTACATAGACAACAATGATGAGGAGCAGAGCTCCCCGGCCTTTCAAGTAAACGCAGGGATCCGATTTGGACGGCATTGCTCCGAAATCTCGGACCTCTCGATCGAGCCGTTTATGCCACACTCGTCCAGCTTGTCGGAGTCCGTATAAGGCTTTCTTCATCGAGCAAACCTTGTTTCCGTCGGATAGTTCCTCCAACATTTCAGCTGCTTTCCTTGTGATATCAGGGCTTCCTCGTTTCGCACTAACGATATGCTTGAGTGTCTCTTCCATGAATTCTGGTGTCTCCATGTATATTTCTTCCTCCAGGGTACCGTTTAAATAGGCAGTCGATACATCAAACTGGCGAATAGACATCCCACGACATGCCGCGAGAGCCACAATTAGACGAATCGACTTGATACGAGCAACGGGAGCGTAAGTATCATGGAAGTCTGTTCCGGGCTTCTGCGAAAATCCGCGTGCTACGATTCTAGCCTTGCGTCGTTCCAATTTTCCGTCGGGGCCATACTTGTCGCGTAACACGAATCGACTTCCAATAACGTCGCGGTCCTCTGGGCGATCCACGATGACCCAAGTATCGTTCTTCAAAATAGACATCATTTCCTTGGCCATTGCTTGTATCCATTCGTGGGATTCCGGACCCGTCGCGGCCTGTCTGAGTGGGACTTCCGTCAGTAGAGCGTAATCAGCGACTTCCCCTTGGTCCGAGCCCGTCGTGCAGTATTCCTTCCGCGGTCTTCCGGGGCGTCCGGTTCTGATCTTGCGTGGTCTTCCGGGACCTCGTCTGTGCACCTGCTGTGGAGCTTCTTCGCATTCGGGCTCGTCGGATTCGTTTTCCGAGTCGTTTTCAGGGGCGCCGTGCTCGACATCTTCCGGGCAGTTGGATTGACTTAAGTCAATGTCGAGATACGAATTCTTCTCAGCCGGCCTATCTCCCGATTTGGACTGGATCTCCTCAGTGAGAAACTCTTCAAAGTCGATCCTTGGAGCAGACGATGAGCCTTTCAGGAATTTGACATCCCTTGTAACCTCAACTCTTTTCTCATCTGGTATCCAAATCCTGAATGCCTTGGATCCCTCGGCGTATCCCACAAAAATGCCTGTACGTGATCGCGGCTCAAACTTGTCCTTGTTCGGGGACCTGTTAAGGCAGTATACTTCACTTCCGAATACCTTGAATTCCGTTACATCGGGGGCTACGCCCGGCCAAGCCTCGTACGGAGTCTTTCCACCCAATCTCGAAGTGGGACTTCGGTTTCGAATGTAATTCGCGGTATATACCGCTTCCGCCCAAAATGACGAAGGTAAACCGGATTCTATAAGTAGACATCGAGCCGTTTCCACGAGCGAACGGTTTTTCCTCTCCGAGACGCCGTTCTGCTCTGGGCTGTAGGCAGCACTCAACCGTCGTTGAATTCCGTGATCTCTCAGAATCATGTCGAAGTCGTTGATGTACTCGGTTCCATTATCCGACTGAAGGCATTTGATCCGCCTTCCCCGTTGAGTCTCCATGAGTATTCTAAAACTTTCAAATTCCTTGAAAACATCGCATTTCTGTTTTAGAAATCTTACCTCGCACCATCTCGAAGAATCGTCAATAAACGTGACGAAATAACGAGCTTTCCGGTGTGAAAGAATCCTCATGGGGCCGCATACGTCGGAATGAATGATGTCGCCGATATCCGTCGTTCTCTCGGACTTCTTTGGGAACGAAGGACGCGACATCTTGCCTTGAAGACAGGTTCCGCATTCAAAGTCTTCGTTGATATCCTTGATGTCCAATCCGATGATCGTCCTCTTCCTGGCGGCTTCACGCAGGTCTCCGACGTTCAGGTGTCCGAGTGCTTTATGCCATTCCATTAGGGTCTTCTTGCCGGAGGCTTTCTTCGTGTCGTCGTCTTCCGTGATGTTCCGACAATCATTCTGCTTTCCGCGTCGAACATAGTAGAGGCCATTCGCGCGTTCCGCTGTCAGCCTCACGTTTCCGTCCCGATCGATCACTTCGGCTGTCTTCTCCTTGAAAATAACGGAGAACCCTTTATCTGTGATCTTCCCGACTGAAATTAGGTACGCAAGTCCGGCACGTGAAGAGCGTGGTGAAGCCGCACGGTCCTATTCACGCCGTTGACTTCGGTCACGAGTGCTGCGACACCTCTGGCCTTTGTCTCCGTGCTCGCGTTGCTTGCTAGGTTAAGTTTCCCGTTTTCGCTGGTTTCGATCTCCACGAAGTCGGACTAATCTCGGCATAAATGTGAAGAACAACCGCTGTCCATGCACCAGCTCTTGTCGAAGTCATCGTCGATTTCCGATGAAGCGTTGTACCCGTTGGCTTCCAGCGACGCAAATAAACTTACGTCATCAGCTTTATTTGCGACGGCGAACTTGTGCTTGCAGTCTACCGCCTTGTGACCGACTTCGTGGCATCGGTGACACTTGTATTTGAACGGTTGATTGTCGCTCTTAGTTGCCTCCTTCTTTCCGCTTTGATTCTTCTTATTGACATTC